TGCCAGTGGTGACTGTGCGTAATTATGCTATCATAAGCCGCAGCAGCTTTCAGGACTGGGACAGGTAGCACACGTGGTTGTGCCAAAGCATACCTTCATCTTGCAACCTACACCTCTGCCATCACAGATGTAAATAGTTTTAGAGAAGCAAAATGAAATCAAAACCACAGACATGAATTTTAGCAGGTGAAAATTCATAGATTACTTGCAGTGCTTCACTTTCAGAATGTTCTATAATTGCAGACTAAGGCTATAAAAATACACCCATTCTTCTATCAGTCTACACTATCTTGTACCCTGTTTTCTGCAATGAGCTGTAGGGTTTATATAATCAAATCAGCAGCAATAAATCCCATGAACTGAAATAGGTATAAAATGTACAAAACAGACAAACATGCATCTTTCAAACAAGTTATTTTTAAAGAAGTTACAGAAGAAATATGTTTGTGGAAGGAAAAGTTCAGGGAGAAAAAGTAGATGTCAAAGCTCTTTTTCTTCTCCCAGACCATGGCATTGTATATCTACCTGGACTCTGAGTTTTAAAGAATAGGGAATGGTCTTGATCGCAGTCTTTCAACTTGTGCCTGAAGAATTTCAAACTGTTCTTTCTCTTCCTTTATCAGCCCCCGTAGGTGTTTCTGCTTCAAAATCTCTCGGTAGCGCTGCCTTGCAACCTTTTTAGAAATATGCTGTGTGTCTGCATAAAACAAAATAATAAGGGTCAGCCTGTACTTGTAGGGGATGCACAGTCTTTATTTCTATTGGACCTGTCCTGGGGTTATTCCAAGTTCTGTATAAAACAGGCAAGCACTTTAAAGAAGGCTCACAGTTGGGTGTAAGAGCCTTTATAGTACTGAATAAAGCAAAAAGAAATTCCAAAAGGCACTGGGAATGCTTCCTTTAGTTTCTAGCAAGTACCCACTATTTAAATACCTGTTTTCCATTAGTGGAAAGAACTCTACAGTTTTCCTAATAATGAATACCCTTCTCAGCTTCACATTACTACCTCTGATCCCTTCAATGGTGGAAGCAAGTGGGTTGAACAGTTCTGAGAAAGAATGAAAGCCTGTTGCCTGATGGAAGTTATTAATGACTGTAATATTCTGACTTAAATAGCTTCAGCAATTTAGATAATTAGGTTTGTCTACAAGAGAAACAGTCTCTAGGTATTCTCTTAAATAAACAATGTTAAACTGTTGTGGGAGAAAGGGCAATGCTAGTCGTGCACACAGTAATCAAGCAGTAGGTGCTCCTTCCTCCTTAGCTGATGCTGATGGAGAACAGGACTCTAGCCTTTGAGTTATTTTATAAATGTTCTTTGCTTGTGACTTGAAGTGTGTTACTGTGACTTACCAGCTGCCTCAAAGATATGCCTCCTTTCTGAAGTAGAGACCAGCATTTCTTTCAGCTCCAGGCTGAGCTCATAGTTTTCTTGCTCTTTTAAACTGATGCACTTCTCCAACTCTTTAATTTTTTTCTGGCGGTTCTTCACATTCTTCTTGTGCAGCTGTCCATTTCCAAATGAATAAAGCAAATATAGGAGATTACACAAAAGCTGTTCTGACAAACTTACGATGGAAACCTATAATCATAAAAGCACTGTATGGTAGCTCAATGAACTTGTGTATTTTGGTTTGGCTAGCAGCACATTCTAGCTTTACTTTGTATAGTGTCTTTCATGCACACCATATTACAGTATGCTTTATGGTATTTTAATTTAAGTGGCTGACAAGGACCAAAGAAGTATGGGTCAGGGAGAGACATCTATGAAAAATGAAACTTGAAAGGGAAAGGGAGTAAAGGACGCAAATGGAATCAGTGAGTTAAGAAACTCTCTTGGCTGCTAGGAGCTGCTGAAGAAAGGGTGGTCATGCTAAAGTTGTCGGATGAGCTGTAGAGGGCCAAAATAAATACTAAAGCTTGAAGAAGAAGAGGAGGCTGATGCCAGCTAAAGCAACCTAGAAAAAATCCAGTGGAATCACTTGAAAACAAGCATAATGACAATTTGAATGTTGAAATAGATGAGGGAGTCAGCAAATCAGACTGTTGTGTCTCATTTTGAATATAAGGGGGCAGTGATATTAGGAACAGGCTGGCACTCATGGAGAGAAACTTTAAGCAGTGAAGACTGGCAGAATGCTTCATTAGGAATGGGAGAGTGACTTTTATAGGTAATGCTGTGTAAGAAGTGATAAGCAGATCTGCATTCAGATGTTCAGGAAGGAAAGCATTTAGTTCTAGTAACAGAGTAAGTAGATTTCTCTCCATAGAGTTGATCTATGCAGCAACCCATGTACGATGACTGCTTCCAAAGACTTTAGAGAACTGCTGCTGTAGACAGCTCAGTGCAAGCTGAAGAAACTATTTAAAGGCAGATGAATAAATACATGGAGATAGTTAGATAGATAGATAATCCATCTGTGTGTACTGTTACGGCTATGCCGCAACAGTCCTTGACTTAGTATGCCTATATCAGTTGAACTTTAACCCTTACAAATACCTCTTGCTAATGAAGGAGAGGAGTTGCATTTAAACTAAAGATGTGGTGGTTCACTTTTAGGATTTACCTCATCCATGATGCCAAGAGTCTGCTCCATCACTGAAATGTGGTGGGCAACGTTGCGGTTGTAGTTTGGCACAGTTAGGAGCTGATGAATTAAAACCAGAAAGAAAGCATCTTATTAAGCCTGTTTGTTCTCAACAATTTCCCACTTCTCTAAAGACAATTACATTATGTGAAACTCAAAACCCCTAGAATTCTGCACAGTGGAAAGGCTTACTAGTGATCATAAATGGACGTAGTAGAGATATTCCTGGATGTTGTGTGAATACTAGATTGTACTGCTGTTAAAAAGAATGTTAACTATTATGTGTTAATGGAAACAAACACTGAGTAGATTTGTCATGAGGTCGTCAAAACCCCTCCACCAAGCTATACTTTTGCTTATTAGCTAGTCTAAGCTAACACAGCTGGAAGCCAAAGTGCTGTGTAGTCTGTCTTTAGGTCAGAGAAGAAAGTGATTATTTTCTGTCAAGTAGCTTCCTAGTAATTCTTACTTCTTTTACTGTTCTTGTATCTGCATAGTAATTCAGGTTTCAGAGGATTTAGTAAAGATTTTTTCTTGGGCACAGTGCTACTAAAATACCTCTTTATGAAACGACAAATGGTAGAACAGGCTGTATGACCCATAATGGGCAGTAGACAGGCTTCTGTAGATATAGATTCATCCTTCCAGAGTATTGCCCCACCAAAGTGACCAGTAAAATTTTATGGACTGCTCTAGTTAGAGAAGGAGAAACAGGAAAGACCCAGCAGGCTCCTTGAGTACAACACTAAACTTCTTCCATGCACTGCTTCGTTAATAGCCCTCATTCCAGGTGTTCTCAGGTCCTTGTCCACACACATTTATATAAGCCATCTGTCTTTCTGTTCCAATTGTTGGGGTCTCTGTTGCCTTGGCTTTTCCACTAACCTCACATTCCTACTCAAAAAGTGATGTCAAGCCCCTCAGAGCATTCAGATTCTGAACAAACTGGTATATGCCTCTGCCATGGGCAAGTTTAAGTCTCTCTGAAGGGCAGTAGTTCTGTTCATCAGTTTAAATTAAGTTTGAGCTAATGGCAACACTCTGGTGATAAATGTGCTACAAGAACTTTTCAGTGTTGTCACATCACCTTGTTGGAAAGCTGTTTTGTTGGTGTTAGTTATGGAAGTCCCTTGGGTGTGATTCAGAAGTGAACAAGCATTTTGGAGAGCAGCAAAACAAATGAAGCCTGAGCAAAACGTGTGTTTTGGATTTTCTTTTCATCTTCTGATTGAATTGCAATATCCTTACCTGCTCTCCAACATTCTTCATTTTCTCTGTGCTTGCTTTATCTGAGCTCTCCCCCGCTGCAATATACTCATCCTCCAACAACCCTTACTATAAGCCTTTATGCTCCCCCCCTCATCGCCATAGTTTCATCAGCTTTCTCTGCAGTCCTCTACATCCCATACTGCAATAACCTCAGGCCTCCCCTTTCTTCCTGCTCCTCTCTCCTCCCACTGGTATCCTTGTCTCTCTCTCACACCCTTTACCTCTGTTTTCTGGCCTGCCAGCTAGGCTTGTTCAAAGCTATGTGGGTGCTGATTTGCTGGCCAACTGCTGCCTCTTGCCTCCCAGGCATGGCAAAACAACTACCTGCCATCCTGCTGCTGGGCCAACAAATGGCAGTGATTGGGGCTCAGTGAAGCTCCTGTAGGAATGCTCAACCTTTGCACCCTGAGCAGAAATTACGTTGTTTCTGTGAGATACCAGACGAGGGCACTTCAGACCTTTCACTTTAAAGGAAATGTTGCTGCTTGATTTGAAAGATCTGTTTGTGGCTGCAAAACCCCGATTCCTTACTCTCAGTGCCAATTTTGAAACACTAAGACTTAGGGCTAATTTTGCCTTCATTAACACCTGAACATCCTAAAGAACTTCAGCACTGATCAATCTCCAGGATAAAACTTAACCCTTTGAAAGCTGAATTGTTGAACTATTAGGCATCAGGTTTCTCAGTAGAAGTAAAAGACTTATGAGGCAGAAATGATCTTACAGGTATAGGCAGCAAAATGTTCTGCAGTCAAAATACGAATTAGAGAAAGTAACTCACTCGCTGGCGATCTCTGGAAATAATTAGTGTTACAATATCCCGAGCCTTCTGTTGAAGATCTTCTATCTGCATTCTCATTTTCCTGTGTTCCCATTCCAGCTGATATATCCCTTTAGAGAAGTCTTTATATTCCACCATGCTAGCAATTTTTTTTTCTCCTTGAGCCTGAAAAAATAGATTAATCTTAATTAACACACTGTACAGATTATGGAATTGTTATTTGCAACAAGATAGGCAAGTTTCCAAAGTTACAATTTTAGGAAGGAAAACATGCTATATTGCACCCTCTTTCCAGACTTTGCTCCAGATGGTTATCTTTTGTGGAATTTTGTACCCTTTTAAGCTCTGTGCCACAGCCTTGGATTATAAAAGGAGATGAAGAAAGTTAGTAGGAGCTCTCTCTCCATCTTTCTAACTTTTATAAGAATGTGAAGGCATTTTAGCTCTACAAAATATAAGCTTGCACTGCATAAAGTATTTTGCAGTTGCTACTGAAGGCTTTGTGCAGGAGCAGTTAAGCAGCTATTTTTGTACAGCTAGAACACCTAATAAAAGAATGTTTAATGAGAGTATCATAGAATCACAGAATCATAGACTCCCAGCTTGGAAGGGACCTCAAGGATCATCTGGTCAAATTTTTCTTGGCAAACACAGTCTAGACCAGGTGGCCCAGCACCGCCTCCAACTGGATCTTAAAAGTATCCAATATGGGGAAATTCACTACTTCCTGAGGAGATTATTCCAATGGCTGATTGTTCTCATTGTGAAAGATTTTCCTCTAGTGTCCAACCAGAATCTCCCCAGCAGTAACTTGTGCCCATTATCCCTTGTCTTTTCCATGTGACACCTGCAAAAAGGGAGTCTCTGTCTTTTTTGTAGCCACCCTTTAAATACTAGGCCATGCTGATGAGGTCCCCCCTGAGCCTTCTTTTCTCCAGGCTGAACAAACCCAGGTGTCTCAGCCTTTCCTCATTCAGCAGGCTTCCCAGTTCTTTGATCATCATTGTGGCCCTTCTCTGGACCCTCTCCAGCCTGTCCACATCATTTTTGTCTAGTAGGGAGCAAAACTGAATGCAGTTTTCCAGGGGTGGCTTTACAAGAGCTGAGCAGAGTGGGACAATGACTTCTCTATCTCTGCTGTTGACAACCTCGTCAATGTAACCCAGTATCTGCTGGCTTTCTTCACTGCAGCAGCACACTGTTCACTCATCTTCTGCTTGTTGTCCACCAGGACCCCCAGGTCCCTTTCCACAGAGCTGCTCCCCAGCCAGGTAGATCCCAGCCTGTGCTGCACTCTTGGACTGTTTTTTCAGGTGCAAGATCTTACACTTGCCCTTGTTGAACTTCATAAGGTTCTTGATAGCCCACTCTTCCAGCCTGTCAAGGTCATGCTGCAGGATGGCTCTCCCTTTCAAAGTGTCCAATTCCAGTTTAGTATCACCTGCAAACTCAGCCACGGCACACTTGATGCCATCTTTCAGATCACTTATGTAGATATTAAACAGTGTTGTGTCCAATAGCAAGTCCCAGGGAACCCCACTTGTGACACGTCACCAGTTTGAAAAGTATGAAAAACTATTTCAAGTATGATCACCAATTTCACCTTACATAGAAAAGTGCATTAATTTTTTAAATCTTAATGTAAGCTACTGTTCAGATGCTACTTAGCATGACTGTAAGTTTGCCTTGAGGGAATTTTTGGACTTGTGCCCAGGATATTAGCATTTTCTATTTACAATGTGTGTGTGAGTGATGGCATGTCTAAAGGCTGTTTCTGTTTCATTGATCTGAATTGTATTGATCAAACATCAAGAAAGCAGTCTGTATTGCAGTCTTTACATCACGATAAGGGACATTACAGAATTCCTAATAGCTTCTAGATTACAATTGAGCCTACTGGTGTGTAGTAATGAACTGAAAGTAGATGTTTCTGGAGAAAAAGCAGAGTCCCTGAAGGACAATACATGTGTTTAAAAAGCCTAAATTTCCTTTGGATAATGTAAATTACCGTGATGCTGCGATTCAGTTCTTCAATAACGCTCTTATGAATGAGAATGGCATCACTGTATTCTGGGATCTCTGTGTTTTCCAGTTCTACCTGTCCTTGCTTTAGCAAAAACTGGATAGTCAAATTCAATTGAAGTTTCATCTTCTCCTCTTGCAGCCTAAAATGGCAGAAAATAAAAATAAAGTTCAGTGCTTTCAACAGGATTATGTAAATCCTCCCATGATTCTCAAAATGTTTATATTTATTGCTGGTAAGTGCTATGTTTATCTAGGGGTTACTTTTTGACAGCCTGTTTCCTATTTTCTCCCAAAGTGACTACAGAATTTGCACCTTATTTCCAGACATGAAGTTTTCAACCACTGGATGAAGTTTAACATCCTCTAGCAGATGATGTGAGAGAAAGTGTTGTTACTGAACAGAAATCTTAACAGTTGAAAAGGAAACGGAGGAGACTCGCAGCCAGCACCCGTTTTCTTTTATAATTTATCCTGGGGTTTGTTCCTGAATGACAATGGATCTGAAACTCATGTCATGGACATACTGCAGGTCTAAGCAGGTCAGTGAAATCAGGTGTCATGTGGTGTATTGCAGTTAGGAGTGATCACTGAACCTTAGGCCTACATGAGTGAAATTTGACTGAGCTAGCTAGCACATATATGGCCTTGAAGGCTTTGGGGGATTCACTGTATGCTGTAGGTTTGGGCAGTCAGTTTGCATTGAAGACCACGGTGCTGTCCTTCCTGATGTTGTTACTTAAGAAGGTAGACTAAGAGTGGTGTGCCCTGCTCACATGTGCTGTAATTACACCTCATTTCAGAAATATCATAGGTCTCGTATGAATCCTAGATAAAAGAGTGTTAGCTCTGTACTTCTGTATGTAGCTTTTGGTTCTGTGTTGGTGGAGGATTAAATTGTAGCTGAACATATGAAAAAAGAAACAAAATTACCAAGTGAGTTCTTGGAAAATGTCTTCTATTTCTGATTCAATTATGTCACTGTCATCTACTCTTCTTTGGAGGAAGGCCTGCATCTCTGCCAGTGTTTGGGACTTCCATTTCACCTAAGCAAGCAACACCATGACATTCTGAACTTTTTCAACTTGTCTTGTCTCTGTCTCTTCAAGAACAGAGAAGACAAGTTCTTAAGAAGACATATGTATGTATAAATATGCAGCCTGATATTTTGAGGATCCCAGTAGAGCACATGAGAGAGAGAGGTTACAATCCTTACACTCTGCTAAGAAAGGTATTTATTCATTTATGCATAGTTTATTCACATGAAGGAAATTAATACTTCTTTTTCTCTTGGTCAAATTTCATTATCTGTCTCTGGATATTTCAGATTTACACCTTCATGCTTTTAAACTAGAACTTTCCAGCAACACCCTTTCTTAAGAATTGGGAATGCATTGGTGCAAATGTAGATAAGCTAATGGGAGAGAATTACTCCGACAGATCATAGAAATCGAATACCTTAACAGTTTTTTGGTATAGATAAAGGAAAATGATCCTTTTTAAAAAATGAAACCATATTAAGATCACAATCATTCTGATCAAGTCTGTCCACATTAATAGGCTGATTTTTCCTCTGAAGGAGAACTACAGCTTCTGTGGCCAGAAGGAACTCTCAAACTCAAATGTAGCTTTTGTGTCCTGCAGTGTTACTTCACTACCACTTGAACTCCAAAAAAGTTTAAGACCTGGGAATATCAAGAAGAGTACTGGCAAAATAAAGAATTTTACCTACCACCTCCTCACTCTCCATTTTATTTCGTCTAGTTAGACAAAAATGTTCCCATATCGACAAATCTAAGCCATTAGGCATGTGCTCAGGACTATCCAGTTCATCCATGGCTTTCATTAAAAGGGTAAGTGCATCTTTGTTATCTTCAGCTGAGCCCAAACACTTCCCATAGGGGTTAGCTGTGTCAAGGACAGTTTCTGTCACTGGAGTCCTAGTGCACACACACAGAGTACATACAGTGTTTTCTTTTAATTCTCTCTTGCATAAAAGAAGATCACAAACAACCAAGAACATTTCATACTCCCAATCTCTTGCGAAGAGCAAATAGGTAATACTACGTCTTACACAAAGTAAGAATATATGTTTTTGAGACCTGATGATTACTTAGATTGCATTTAAAGTGGATTGTGTGAGGAGAATAAGGCAATGCAAGTACTCAAAATAGCAGCTGTTAGTATGACAGGAAATCAACCACTGTTACTAGCCAATAAAAAGCAGGCAGTCTGATTATCAAAAAAATTTAGACTATTGAAATAAAAAACATTCTCACTTTTGACTCACAAAAAATACTAGTATTTAAACAGATGGAATGAAGGGGGATCTTACTTTGGTTGCTGCCTGTAGAGCTGGAGAAGTTCATCAAGGAAATCATCAGGTACGTCAGCAAGCTCCCTTGTAAAACTAGAATCCACATTCTAGGAGGGAAACAGAAAGCTTTCTTGTTACCACAGTGTTATTTTTAAAAAGAGCATCAACCTGCCCATATCTTAGAAATACAGAATATGGTGCTTCTCCAAGTACTCCCAAGCATCACAGGAAGCTGTACTATTTCATAAATTCTTCTGCACACATATTCTCCTTTACTGCTTAATTTCAGTGATCAGCACATTGACCAGAACTCGTCCCATGCTTACAGTGAAGTATGTTCTCATTATCAAGACACAGCATTAACTTGTTAACTTCTGAACCTCACTGTGTTTGTCAAGAGTCTCACCTTCTCTTCAACTACTGCATTTTCATAGATATCTATGTAAGCCTCGATTTTATTTTTTGTCATCTGGATTGTTCTTGCAGTCTTGACCTGTAGCAAAACCAAAAGATTTCAGGAATGAAACTCAGCCAGCAGAAACACTGAATGGCCATTCATATACACTGGTAAAGCTGACACTGTCTTATTTCTAGAGAAAACCTTGTGAGCCATTTTTACTATCAATATAATGCCTTCTTCAGGGGGTTACTTGTAGATACTGCTAAAAAGTGAGCAGGTGAGAAATTGAACTAGTCCATTGCTTAAGAAAGTAAGAAATTTGTGTAGGAAATACCTTATGCAAATCCTTTAAACCTTCTTTTTAAACTTCAAAAGGTATGTTGCTACTTGTTTATGCTTGCATAGAGATTTCCTTTTCCTTTCATGTGATCACAGGTAAGCCCAGTCAAAAATTCCCAAATGCTGTTCAGTAAAGCATTCTTCATTTTAGAATGCAGTTTTCCTGTTGTCATGACATAGTTCTGCTATATGTCAGGATACTAAGCTCATCAAATCATACAATCATAGAACAGTTTGGGTTGGAAAGGACCTTAAGATCATCTAGTTCCAAACAATGGCTCCTTGCAGCTGCAAGCACAGAGGTCTGCACAGGTCGAGTAGATCTGACATGGGGAGGCATTAGTGTATGTGTGTGTATATATATGTATGTATGTATATTTTAGTATAGTCCACAGAAACGTGGACGTAGGAACAGGTCCATGAAGGCAAATGGGCTATATTGTTCCAAGCACCAGAACCAACCTGCAGACTACCACCACTTATAACACCTGAGTCACACAAGTATGGGCAGGACACAGGAATCAGAACTGTCCCTGAAAATTAGTGCTGTGGGTAGCAAGCACTTGTACTGAAATCCAGATCTACTACTTGTACTCTCCAGTCTTCTTTTATGTGTGGTTTGACAGGGATGGGTAAACTCTTCAGGAGGTTAAATCGGTCAATGAGACCATAAACACTTTGTACGTTGTGGTATATTCTGTTTGCATGGTCAGATACTCATACATATCATCTCCCTCTATGCTTTGAACTGGCCCCGGTATGCATTAGACACCTAAGTGGAAAATGTGGTGGTGTTACACATTCTTTTGTGCACCTTCCTGTCATAAAAGCATCATAATTGGTGCTTCCAGTTTGATATTGTATACTAAAAAATACTATATATAGAAAAGAAATAGCAACGTGCCCTTCTGAATGTATGGAGTTTTACCAAAGAACTCCAGATGAACCAAGATGAGTATCTATTCAAAACCATATGTATTTATAATGTTTGTCACCTGCACCAGTTGAAAAAAAATCAACCCTGTAAATTGTCAGAATATCATTTATAGCAAAATTTTTATTTGGAAAAAGCAGTCTTCACAAGAAACTATATTTTAAATATTACACTTTTCCTAAGAACAGCATTTCAAATGACAACTTACTTTTTCTTTCTCCTTTTTCATAAGGAAATTATGAAGTCCAGTTTCTCTGGTGACCAACTCTTCATCCAACATTAAAGCATAAACAAGATTGACTATTTTGAGTTCTTCCTGTGAAATGATTGTAATACAAAATAAATTAACATTCCTGC